CAAATCTCCCTCAACTCCCCAAACCCCTTTCCCCACCCCTCAGCTCCCCAAATCTCCCTGAACTCCCCAAACTCCCGCCACTCCCCAAACTTCCGCCACTCCCCGAATCCCCGCCGTTCCCCAAACCCTCGCCATTCCCCAAACCCTCGCTATCCCCCAAACCCTCGCTACTCCCCAACCTTCCCTATTTTACAAAAATTACAAAACAGTCCCAGCTGCCAACTACGAGCAGCCCATAGTTGGGACAACAGCATCTGGCGATAGACTACCCGTCACATCGCCGTGTTAGTCTGGGTTGATGCGGCTGTCACTGAGGCTCAAACTAGTCGTGAACGTGGCAGTAAGTGGATTCTCGACAACTGTGCCCAGTGATGCAGACAGTACTCTCTCACTAAGACACTAGGACACTGATCTCTGAACCCCTACATGTACGATAAGGGCAAGTTCAGGCCGCACTCGACTTTTTTTGAATTACACAAAAAATCCACACCTAATGAAGATTTCTTGAAGTGCTGCACACAAGTGCCTTTTTTCCCAAAATCTTAACTGGCTCTGATTCTAAACAGCAATATTTTTTATGTGATATAGACGGAGAAGCGGAAGTTGATTTTACATGCGCAGCAACTTAGAGTATTTTCAACTATATATGTACGTACACATATATATATACATATATATATATATATATATATACATAGATAGATAGATATATGTTTGGCTGAAAATATTTGCTGCATAAATATACTATATGTAGCAAATACATTTTAAAAAAACAACGTATGGTAAACTATACAGCGTGTACAGTACATTTTTTCTTTCATCAGTGTACGTTTTTTCATTGCGCCAATTTCACAAAAAGCGCATAAAAATTAGCCTACTCCTATGTACGAGATCCTAAGAGTAAATTGAACGTTGGCGCCCTTATGGTACACGCACACGGACGCGTGAAAGAGGGTGCGCGAAAGTTATTGGGGCAAAAATTATTGACTCGGAAATCAGAAA